GGGGCTATCAAGGGGGATACCAGGAGTTTAGTAGACTGTAGCTACGGACCCCAATATACTACAATCCTTATTATGGGACCCGAACCCCTTCCCTCTTTTGGGAATCCCTAAACCCTAATCCCTAAACCCCGAAATAGCTCATATGCGGCCAGGGCTAGGGCTTCGGTAACCACGAACGCCCTAGCCTTGCAGAAATTCATATGGTAGTTTCCCTAAATAGCAAGCCCCCAATATAGAACCCAAATAGAATAGTCAATAGTCCTTATTAGATGGACCCCAAAATGGTACCCCATGGCACCACTAATCTTGGGAACCCCCCAAAGTCATCAACATTTATGTCAATCCAGAATCCTAGTTTTTGAGGAGGATCCTTCAACTAAACTAGGGTTGAACCTCCTTCATTACGAAAAGGTGCGTTTGCGCGGAAGGAGGTTTTTCAAGCACACCTTCCGTCTCTAAACCCTACAAATCCCGTGAGAAAATTTAGCATGGATCCTAAAGTATGACCCCGAACAAGGCCCATGTGACCAAATCCCAAATGGCTATGAAACTTGAAATATCTCTGAAACCTGGACGCCCTCCTCTACCCCCAGATGGGCATCCTTCTTATAGCTAGGCAAAGCATCCCATATGAGCCTTTGCCAAAGTATGGTCCCTTTTCAAAAGACCATACAGGCCTGACAAAACCCTATGGAAGACTCCCTATATAAATCCTATAACTCATCTAAAGGGACACGGAAATTTTGGGACACCCTTGCCGCGTAATGATGTGGCAACTTCCATGTTTTCTATTGTCTTTTCCGTTCCTTCATTCATTCCCTACCAACAACCACAAGTTAACCCCATAACAAGATCCCTGTAAGGCCCAGGCTCCATTTCGTGTCCAATTTGCTCGCCTTTTCTATCCTCCATGATCCCCTAAACCCTATAGTATCCCAGTAAAACCTCTATATGGTGTTTTCCATACATGGGGGGACCCCAACTAACACCCCAAAATTCTGTAATCGTTACTATGAGGACTTCTGGAAAGTGACCCCCACTTTCCAGAAACCCTAGTTCCCACAATCCACTACATCAACCCTAAATCCTTGTCCAGTAATCCCCAAAATCCACTACATCAATCCAGCTCCCAGTTCGTTTACCATCTTCTTCTCCCTTCGATTCTCCAGCACTAGGGGCACTATCCTTATAGCCTATATCAACCCATACAAGCCCTGTCTAACCCCCGTAACCATATATGATAGTTTCCCAACAGGGGGGACCCCAATATCAACCCAAAACCCGTCAATCATTATTATGGGACTCCAAAAAAATACCCCTAATGTTGGGAAACACCCATAAGATGCCTTTAGCCAAGCCCAGGCGCGCTCCGCGCCAGTTCGTGCTCGTGGAGGCATGGCCATGGCGGCGAGGGCTGCCGGTGCGGAAGTGTGATGTCGTAGCTCCATGTCCTTTGGCTGTTTTTGTTGTGGCTGTTAATTGCGTATGGGGAGTTTATGTTGGAGGAATCGTTTACCTACTCCCAGATTTGCATACAATCCGTCTTTTTGGCTCCTTTCTGGGCGGTCAGGGTCGAAGCTGAACATATCCAAACGTTTCAGTGGTGAAGACGTAGAATTTTCAGAAGATTTGAGGGCATCAGGAGCTACAAAGTTTGGAGGCTTGCGTAATTCCGACTGGAAAAGATTTCCAAAAATGACCCAGTGTCGGGCCGGGCTCGCATCCACCTGACATTGTGTTCAGTCCGATTTACAGTCCCGCTTAGGTAGATACAATATGGGGTATATGGGGATCTTATTATAATGTAGACTAATGTTGGACACTGTTTTGTCTTGAGGGTCCCTTTAATGTGTTTTGGGGCCAGCTTATTCACTTCAGGGTAATGATTTGAGGGCCGCTTTAAAGTGTTTTGATTTTGGGGCCCTTAAACTATAGGAACGATTCACAGCTCTCCCTTGACGGCCCCTAACTCTAGTTTTCTGAGGGCCGGGCGGGGGGAGGGGGGGGAAACATTAAAGAGGGTCCAACATTATAGCTAACCTGGGATTTAGGGATTCGTAAATGGGCAGGAGCATCGCAGTATTCTGGGGGGGGGCCGGGCCCCCAACATTAGAAGGTCCACCACTATAGCTCACCTCCTGCTTAAGGTCTAGTAAATGGGCAGGAACATCACAGTATTCCATCTGTGGGCAGCTTGCGTGTGTGTGTCATCCAATCACATGATATAGCGAAGACGCCAGCCCTCCAGCTACCAGAACCCAAACAGCATAGCAAATCTGGAATGCCTCAAGTGCGCAAAGCTTAAATAGAAAGAATGCTGAGCGACTCCATTGTAATGTAGACCCCTGATAAATATACACCCTCCCCTTCACAGGGATCATAATAGAGATCCTAATCATGAAGGCCCTTAAAGGGAGGGGGTTTATTAATCAGGGGTCAACATTATGCAGGGATTCTCTTTCAAGAGCCTGAGCAATGTATCAAGCCCCCGCCTGTCCGCGCTGCTTCTCAATCTCGTGCCTCATGGTAGCCACTGCCTTGACACAAACAAGAATGGTCAAGGGCAATGAACTTGACACTGATAGCCAAAAACGTAAAGGTTCTTTGTAGAAAATATAAAGAAGCCCATACCCCCGAAAAGGAACACGGATCCTATAGTGGACCCAAACGAGAGTACTTTCGGTCGAGCTATGTTTTGGGGGGTTCTGTTCTGCGTTCAATGCACATACACCTTACTATGACACGTCCCAAAAGAAGGCCCACGAAGCACATGCAAAAAACGACCGGAAAAACATAGCCGGATTGGAGTAATTTCTAGTCATAGTGCCATCCCGATAAAACCCTCCACACCCTGGCCCCGAGACACTAAACTTTGAAGATCGTGGCTCCTTTTTCAACTGAATCGCGTCTCTTCCGTCTCCAGCTGGAAAATATGGGCACGTGTGAGAATCAGGGGCCGTTTATGACAGAATCCGGAGCCCACACCCCAAAACAAGCCTTAAAGATATGCTTAATGCTTGGACTGCGTGACTTTTCCTGATGCCTTGGGCCTGGAATCGTGAACCACAAGCGGCCCTGAATCTTTGACACTTGGGTAGTTTCTCACATCGGTCTCGTTTGCCTGGTGCCGCTTTGGTTTGGGCAGGCTGTTCTGGAAACTACCCACGTACCCCTATAGATGTGAAATCATACTAACTACGCATGCCATCAACTCTCTACCTATTGGCTGAGCTCAGTGGTGCGAAAAAGCTATGCCCTTACAGGTCTGTAGTGACTGTAGTGGACAAGCCGGAGAAGCCCCAAAGAGCAAAGTAACACATGAGCCCAAAGAAGTACAACCATGGCTTAAACAACCAAGATTTCTCTTCCACCTCAAACCCAACAGCGTCGCAAAACAAGCCCAATATAGATATTGTAGGGACCCCCCAAAAAGGACCCCCCAAAAAACACCACTGCTTGTAAGAAAATCCCAAACACTAAATCCTAAACCCTGCAGAACCCTGTATAAACCCTATATCCCCCTTAAAGGTACCCTACTGTTTAGGCACCTACCGTACTCAGCCAGTAAGTCTAGCTTTCTTCAGGTTTGCCTCGCTACATGCACTTGATGCAAGCAAGGCTGGAAGCCACTGGGTTGCTGTTAAGGAACTTAAGTTAAGCTACTATGTTGGGGTATAGTTTAGGATTGGATCAGGGTTTAGGGTTTAAGGTTTATAGCCAGCAAAATAAATGGAAATTAAAATGGAAATCAAATGGAAATTGGTGGAATATAGATACTTGAGGAACTTAATTTAAGTAACCATAATGGGTAAAAATGTATATGTATATATATATATAGTAAAACATAGGGTTCCCCAATATACTAGCTCAAATTAAGCTGCTTAACAGTAACCCAGAATATCCAGCGTTCTGCTTGGGGGCTGTGGGCAGCTACAAGCTACTTCGTAATGATTAGGGTTTAGGGATCAGGGTTTAGGATTTAGGGTTCAGGGTTTAGGGCTTAGGTTTTGCCATGAGACAGTGACAGCATCCCCGAAGATTCACCTGTAGGTCGCACTTAGGTGAGGACAAGGGCTAGTAGATTGCGACCTTGGACCTCAAGTAGTCACAGACAAATCCCTCCCTGTAGCAGAAACAATGCCTGGGATCGAGGCGGATCATTTTGAGCGAATCCTTAATGGCCACATTCCTCCTATTTGGGACTCCAAGTAAACCTTGAAACAGTAGCATTGCGGCCTGCATTGAAATGTAGACCCGTGATTCATAAGCCCCGTTGATAGGGATCATAACCAGGATCCCAGTATTAAGGCCCTCAAAAAGGAGGGAGTTTATTCATCACGGGTCTACAGTCGTAATAGATCGCCAAAGGCCTCATATAGGGTCATGGAAAAGAAAATGGACTACCACGTTATGTAGGTCCTCAGGCCCCCAAGGTACCCTATAAGGGTAGGCGCCCCGCTGGGAGGCTGAGAGACGGAAAAAGAAGCCATCACTTACAGTCGATTCCCGTGGTATTCCTTGGTCCCAGAACTCCTAGCATCCCCCTTAATATACCCCTATAATTCTTTCTACAGAGTACCCTATATAACCCCCTTCAAGGAGTTTAGGCTATCGCTTGGATGAATCAACCTTAATCCTAAACTCCTAAACCGTAAACCCCATCCCCCCTCACACCAGCAACTCCCAAATAGGGCCCGCCCCCTTTTTCACATGGCTGAAATTCAAATTGCCCACCTTGAAGCATCCTAGGGAAGTATGGGGATTACCGAAGTGGTCATTGGCAATAATAATAATACTAATAGTAATAAAACTTAATGATGATAAGAGTAATAATAATTAGTATGGGGATTACCGAAGAGGTTGTTGGGTTTGGGGTTGGCGCGGCCTAGGGTTGGTTTCAGGACGGATACCTGCACGTTTCCCACGGACAAAATATGTCGCTCATGTTTGGGTGCTCTAAGGTAGTTGAAAATGTGCCGAAGAAGAAGCCAGATTCTGACTCATCGATCTCCCAGAGACTTCAGAGACTTCTGAGCTATGACGGTGCGGTACTCCTCATCTAAGGTGGTCTTGAAATGCTCAAGCCGTCCCCTGTGTGAGTCTGTTTGTATCAGCAGCTGGCCAAATTCCAGCTGCTTCATCACCATTGTGTTGCCCATGGCCTGTGGAATTTTCGAGCTATGCTGGGGGAGGCTCATGCTGCGCATTGTCTGAGGCAAACCCTTTGGAAATTATGTACCGCTGTGCATAACCTCTTCTTAAAAAACACCCCTAGTACTGTTTTGCACGATACTTACATTAGGGGGAGGGGACTACTCTTGGCCGTCGGACTCTTGTCACTGGCTCAGGGCCTGGAACTCCTGCTCCAGCCGCTTGATGTCAGCAATAGCTTCCGGAGGCAACTCTGATATACTGAGCTCTTTCCTGGGTTGGACTTGAACCCCTGAGGCCCCAAAGAGGGAATTTTGTTGCACAATTTTCCCCATCCTCCCGCGGATACGTTTTCTTCCACCCCCTACGCCAAACCTATTGCACAGTGTAGAATCTTAGAAAGAAGAGATGGGAGGGCAACTCATCTTCATACAGAGATTTCCAGCTACCCCAAACTACCAGATACCAACAAAACCATACTGACTTTCTGTTCAGCCGCTGACCCTCTTTGGCATAGGGCCGAATGATATCCTGGAGCCTGCTCTCGAAGAGCTTCCGCTTCATCTGCAGCTGTGCACCCAAGAGCTGCACCCAAACCTCAGCCAGACTCCACCTGCACAGGGAAGGTAGGGTTTCGGGTTTATGGTTAAGTGGACATCATAGGGGATTACTATGGGGGTATTAAGGGGGATGCTGAAAGTTTAGGCTATAGCTCATCTGAGGTGGGCTTGTAACTACATGAACCATAGTCTAAACTACTCGTACCCCCCTTTATAACCACTATAAGTCTATAAGTCTTTTGGTTTGGGTTTGGGGCATTGGGGTTCAGATTTCAAAAGGGGGTAGGGGTTGCAGGTCTCAGGCTCAAGATTTTTGTTTTTCCAGATATGGGGGTCCTATGGCTGCAACATTCGGGGCCTCTGGGTGCATCTTTCATGGGGTGCCAGCATAGAGAGGCACTTCAAACTTTTCAGGCAAAAAAAAGAAATCCTTCGATCCTAAACATGCCAGAGACTTAATGGATCCATTGCCTAGCACACTCACTACCAAAGTATAACACAAGCAGTAGCTGTTAGACCGCATTGACACATAGCTTTCATGGAAAAAAACAACGTTGAGAATCCTGAAGGGCAGAGTATACTTGCTGGGGTGGTATGACAGACAAAGCAGACCTTAGAGAAATTCATAGGCCCTTCCTTCTTGTCATCTGCATTGTCATCTCCAGTATAGGTCTAGAAGTTCAGTTCTCTAGGCAAAGGGGCTCCCACAAAGTATGATTTCAAAATCGTATGGGTTGTGGGGTGTACCCGCCAGCGGCATTCAGACTAGCCACAGGCCGTTTTTCTCCGCTCTGCTGGAGTTCCTCTCTTGGAGGATGTTCAGGTCATAGCTTGGCATGCCCAACTCGCCATAGAGAGGCACCAAGTCTCTCATGAGCTGCATCACCTGAGCAACGTTTTCTGGGGGGAGTTGACAAGGACCGAACCACTTACACATACTCGAGGTAGGCTGTTGTTCTTCGTAGAGACTAGTGTCAAAGACACCGCTCGCTGGGTTTAACTGCGTGATTCTGGGGCAATAAGATACCGAACCAATTTGGAGCACGAGCTGTTTACCCACAAGTTCCCCCCCCAAATCACCTCATCCTCCAGCAGGGATGAATCCATGTCGGTGTCCGTGTCATCAACTGGGTCGGTTTCCGCTCGCAAGTAGGTTGCTCGGGAGAACCTGTCCGAAGTGTCCAATATTCCTAGATTGAAAATGTTGATTCCATGTTGCTAATCTGAAATGCGGCATGTTGCTTGGTTGAGGTTTGGTTTGTTTTGTAGGTAGTGACGTGCCAAGCTTGTGCTGGAATGCCCTTTTGAGATTGTTTATGGGTCTCTCAATCTCTACTAGGGGTGCTCCATACATACCCATGCATTCTGCTTTCTTGTATAACTTCGCCCAAAATGACAACATGTCACAAGGTCTGCACCCCGCCTCCTTTCGGGGGCCCCTGATGTTGGCACATGCCAAAAGGTCACTCAACCTGAAATCCTAAACCGAATAGCCCAGGAACCAGTCCGCCGGGTTCAACACCCGCTTCAACTTGACACGGCCGATGATGGTGTGTTCGCACATATACTTCACCCTGTCCTGGGTTTGTTCTGAGAGATCCTTCCTGAGCTGACTTTCAGAAGGAGCAGGCAGCCAATAAAAGGTCTAGGATCCCTAAAAAAGATATAGTGGTTTCCAGCTTCTTTTTCATTCCTTTGGTTGAGTCTTGCCTCCTCTGAACGACTGGCTTGCAGTGCTTGGGAGTTTCTCACGTAGGGTATTGTCAACACTACAGGAGCATGGGAGACTCACACGCGGGCGTGTGGTTCCAGCATGCGTGGTTCCAGCTAGGAGATGCACTACGACGCTGCTGCTAGGAAGTGCAACTTCGGAACGGCAGAACCAATATATAATGCAGTCTACACTTTCACATGGCATAAATTCAGTCTGCGCTCAAATGATCAACGGAAACTAGAGGCAAACAGCCCGCCATCCTCTTTGAAGGAGGACTGGGTACACGCATGCTGAAAGTATCCCGCTGCATCCAGGATCCTAAGCCTCAAAATCCTAAACCCTACTTGGCTCCATACTGCTTCAAACCCGGGATACGCCACAGGCTATTACAGCGGTTGTCACGCTGTCATTATGGTAGTTGATCCTCTCAACTCAGTAATTTGACCCTTCCCGAACTTTAACAAGGCCGTCTAAGATGACTAGAACAAGGATTGTGAGGGTTCCGAAAATCAGGGGTCTCGTTTGGGACTTCCTATGATATAAATTCTAGCGTTTTGGAGGTAGAAGCGAGCTTGGGTCCTAAACTCTAGACCTACAGCAGCTTGTGCTGGCCCCCCCAGAAACCGTCCATAATAAGTACATGTAATTCATATTTAGCTGTTACTGGATGGGGTACAGTATTCAGCCCATAACCCTTCCGTGCTTCCTATGTACTGAGCAGTGAGAAACCCTTTTTTCAACCCAGGACTCTCTCCGAACTGCTGGGGGCCACGCCGAAATGCACAGAAACCCACATCTCCGTGGCCCCCTTGAAGCTGTCTGAGTATCCCCAAATACCCACCCTAGAATTAGTCTTGAAGGGGGGCGAGTGTAGCCCCGAAACCCCGAACCCTAACTACTACTGCGATTCCTATTGTTATTACTATTGCTCTTACTCTTACCTCCTACTCTTGCTTTTTTATTCTACTACTGGCCTTAGACTACTATGATTAGTATAGCCCCAGCCACAGGTCATCCAGGTAGAAGACGACCCCGACCTGCGCCAAACGGAGCGAGTCTTCCGAGCGTGGGTCCACCGGAGTCACCTTGTACCGGTGCTTACCCAGACCCCCAAAAGGGATTCAAAAATTAGATCCCCTAGAAGACTATGGGGAGTTATATATATAGATTAAGGGTTAGCATGGCTTAATGTAGCGGATCTAATTTTTAGATCCTCCCAGGGGTCTGGGTAAGCGAGTGGATAATTCTTGGATCGTAGGTATACGTATCAGTGTTGGGATAATATAATACGGCGATATATAGGGATACGAGGGGTATAAGGTGAATGCAGGACATTCAGGGTCATAATTAGGTATGATTACAGGGGATTGCAAAAGGATTGCGATAGGATCCACTACCCCCTACGCACCAGTTAGGGCACATTATTTAGGGCTTCGTTTTGGCGCTTGAAGGCTTCAGGCTCAGTTTTTAAGGGTATGTCTTTAAGGTTTCGGGCTTCCGGTGTTTATCGAAATGAGGGTATTACATTTTTGAGGGTCTTAGGAACATTATGGGTCTGTTGTGGTGCAGTAGGAAGATACAACATAGGCCTTGGGGATTGTAAGCTGAAACCCTTGAAATATCAAAGCTCTGGGATTGATAAGGATTTTCGCCACGAAAAAATATTGCTAGGCTCAGGATTCTTGGCATAACCAGGAATTCTGAAGGCAATTCCGTCTGAAAAATTGCTGCGGCCGCTTTGAGACAAGACCCAAACAACGAGACGGCTCAAACAAAGCTTTTGGGGGGGGTGACGTCCGAACAATGCAAGACTCTGCTCTATTCAAACCAGGTGGCCACAAAGCGGCGGGATCCCGAAAGCAGGATATTGTCATAAAGCTGCCGGTAACGGGGCTCAAAGATCTGAAGGGACTGCTTCGTGTAGGGCATGAAAGGTCCGCCAAGAGGAAAGACTGGCAGCACTGTCGCGCCCTCATCAGGCGAGATTTCTTCAACATTCGCATCAAGGGGATCCAGCCACCTAACATGTTCCACTTCTGATTCCTGGGCCAGTCTCAGAGTTGCTGGGGTCTGCCTTGCAGACGGGAAGTGCAACCTGGGCTTCAGGGTTTCCCGCTTCGGGTGAGAGTTCCCAACAAAGGCGTCCAGCAAGCTGCTGCCGGAAATCACTGAAGCCAACCCGGCGCAGATGGCAAAGGACGCCAAACGGAGGGCACTCCGCTGTTTTACTGCAGAGCTGCTCTTGCGGGGATGGGAAGCCATGGCTACAAGGAAGAGTCTACAGCGCTCTTGTTCTTCGTTCAGGCTCCTTTGAAGTCAAGGGTTGAACAGTTTCTGACAGCATTGTGCCTCTGGCCACAGCGATGTGATGCTTGTGAAGTCAAGATGGAATGCATGTCATCACGACAGTCTCAGCATTGAACAGACTCGGCCAGGCAGCATCGAGAGGATAAGACAGTTTGAATATTCCTTGGCAATACTTGGGTTAACCTATTTCACGCGATGCCATATGTTGCAGTTCTCGCCTTCACACCACACACACAAAGCCAACAGCAATGTGCGGCAGCTTCTCCAAGCACTGGCACGCGACTCGTCTCAACACGAAGAATACCCACTCCACTGTAGCTGGCTGTAATGACCGTATGAAAAATGCTTATGTGCAGGTTCCTGGCCCCATTGAACAACAACTTCAAGCAACCCCTGCGCAGCCCTCGCCCGCCTTGCTTGTCTTCGGATCGTTCATGAGAGACCTCATTTGCATTTTTGCATAGGCATAGGGCTTAGGAGGATGGTGCTTTTTAACATCATAATCAGCTCCCACGTGATATTCCTCTCCCATCCCCCTGAGGGATCAATCAGTATAGCATTTTACCATGTGCAAAGCGTAGTCAAAAACAGCACCCATGATGCAAAGGCTGTCTCGCCTAAGCCATGGCCCATGGAATGCTGCAAAATGGCCCATTCGCACAAAGATCAACCTCTGTGGAACTCTCAAGACCATGAAGAAGCACTGTGGTCTGGTGGGGGAGTTTCCGCAAATCAGGATTCCCTTCGTTGGCAGTTGGGTATATAACCATGACCCCTCCCTACTCTTGGAAATACCCGCAAGTGAACATCCATGAACTGGCCTAGGTCGTAGAGTCGTGAGCCCCGGTAAGTTCTGAACGGAATACGCGGAAGGCTGGCTCCTCCGTGAGATCTGGAGCCTCGGCAGCAGAACAGAAACCAGCCTCTTGTTGCATGACTCCTGCATTCCCTTGAACCCTAATTTGCGGATTGTTTCCTGTTGGATCCAGGAAAAGCAAGATTTAACGCCAACTGGGCAGGGGGTCCAAATATTCTGTCTGATCTGGCAATGACAATCAGAAAGAACATCTGTCCAGAAAACCCGAAATCAGCCCAGGGTATTGTTGTTCATTTTGACATTGCCAGCCCTCGGGTTCATGGAAACGGAAACCTTTCCAGGACCGCTGCAAGGCCGTATAAAGGGGTAAAGCGGTAAATGGCAACGGCACCTCTGTTTTCAGAAGCTCCTTTTATTGTGGGACGCCGATTTGTCGGAAGCACCCTGCTGTCTGAAGGTTTAGGATCAACGGTACCCCACACGCAGGTCCTAAGAGACAGTACGTCAATGAGAGTTAGGGGCTCAGGGCTACCAGAGCGAGTGCCCAACATGTATAATGGGACCCTCATATGTATCCCAGAGTACTATAATCCTTATTATACCCCCAACAAAAAAGAAGTACCCCTAACTTGGGAATCCACATGTCCGTTGCCAGCGAACTTTTTTCAACCTCCTCACGGCTGCTACTGCCACGGTAGTCTGGTGAAGCCTCCCTCCTGGAAGCAGTCTGATCCTCAGCCTGGTGTCCTGGGTAAAGTTAAAGGGAGTAGGCCCCAAAACAGGGAACCCCCAAAAAAAATCAAATACCTTTAAGTTAGCTAGAATATGGGGTATGTGGGGATCTTATTGCAATACACCCAAAGCCATATTCTATCTACTTTAGAAGGACTATCGCAGGAATAGAATAGGAATATACTTATCAAGGTCCTTTGGTCATGCAGGCAAGACTACATTTATGAATCGCATCAGTGCGTCTGGCGGAACGGGGGCACAGTTCAGTTGCAGGTTGCATTCTGTCCAATGGCGTAGTATACCGTAAAATAGAATGGTTGCTCCCTTTAACCTTGTAGTATAAAACTGCTCGTAATTCTGACGTCGCCGCGCGTCGGAACCACAAGGAAACTACGAAACTACTGATGCTGGGTGGGGTACAGAAGTGTGGCTCTTAATTGTGCTCCCTACATGAACTTTGCAAGCCCTGCAACCCATCCCGCATCCCCAACTACGCCCTCAGCATTCAAACCTTTTTCCATGCTGAGGGCTTAGTTGACCAAAACATTAAACACTGCAATATCTATCTTCTTGTCCACTCCTTAGTTCAGCAATCAAAAAAACAGTAAACTGTGCTCAAGTCTGATCCAGTATCGCGCCAGTAGCTGCGACAGATCCTGTACCAGCTGGGTCCTGAGCCGCTCCTTTCCGCTCCTCACCTTTTTCCTCAGCTCACATTAAAATCAGGGCACCGTGAGAGTTTTAGGAATCTGTGAGAGTTATAAGGCGAGAGGCTGCATCTCCATCTCCATCTCTGTCTCTCTCTCTCTCTCTCCCTCTCTCTCTCTCTCTCTCTCTCGCGCGCTCTATACCTCTCCCTCGCATGCCCAGTCCAGCTTCAGACGCGCAGCACAAGTCCCATAGATGGAACTTGCTGCAAAAAAATACACGCAGCACGACTTCTTCGCACCCATCTACCTGGAATCTGCTCCAACGGAACTACGGGCATGATGTGACGACAGCAGCTTTTGGCACTTGCAACTTCTTGTCAGGATACAGCTCCATATGTAACGGAAGGTTTGAAAAACTCACTCAAAGCTAACGTTTGGGCTTGGGAGTGTAGAGGTCGAGGACAGCAATCATGACAGAAGCAACAGAGCGATTCAAACAAGACCTGACCAAAAGCGTTCGGTTGACTAATCTGTGAATTATGATCCCGGACCTAGGCCCTTATGTACAGAACGAAAATCTGCAGCCGCAGGCCCTACACCCCACTTGAGTCAGGGTACAGGTGGAGCTTCAAAGCTTCGAACTCGACCAGCTGCGCCCGCAAATTTTGACAATCAGCCATCATTTCCTGGGTGTTGCAGCTGGGCTTACACTTTAAGCCTTTTAGCATCCGTGGAACCCACCCCTGACGGGAACCTCTTGTCTTTGTAGAGTCCTTTTTGTGGTATCATCCGTTTTTTGCCGGGAAGTCTTAGGTAGACGTCCTTCTGCGAGGATCAACAATTTGCGGGGAGCATCTTCACCTTCTGCTGACAAGTACTGGGCCACAACAAGCGTATCTTCAGATTCAGGTGGCATGAAACATACGAAAAGAATGTTTCATGAAATGTCCAGACAAATAACTTTGCTCCACCCCTATGACTTCCCGTCTGATCGATAAGCCACAGCTCTTCACCCCCTAAGCCCTAAACCCCACTGTAGTAATTTCAAAGGGACCCCATGTCCACCCGTAATGGTCTCTTGGTAACGTTAATACGATGGTAGCGCATTTCAATGTGAGAAGCACACTAACTTAGAAAAGGGACCCGGCACCATGCAGCATACATCACTCTTGTAGCCCACAATTTGTTGGAGCCAAATGCACCACCAAAAATCCCAAGGTCCGAAGCGCGGTGTGAAGGGAAGTTTCATTATCACACTCCATTTCAGGTAGTCCACAAAACATCCAAAGTTTGGTTATGTGACCCCTGGACTATTTTCTAGTATATTCCTTAATAGGTCCCCCCTATAGGTCCCCCAGCAGCCGAACTATAGTCCCTAGCTCAGGTGGTATTTTCTCAACATCGGCTGGTGATAGGACCCCAGAGAGGATCCCTAATCTTCGGACACCCATGAACTAAACAAGGGACTCCTAATTTCGGGAAACTCCGCTATGAGCCATCGTCTAAACTCCTGCTGAATAACCCCAAACTTGTCCCCTATATAACCTCCTTTAAGGAGTTTAGTCTATGGCTCATATAAGCTATAGTCTAAACTCCTAGTATCCCCCTTAATAGCCCCCCATTATAGTCCCTTTTATAATCCCCCATACAACCCCTTTAAGGAGTTTAGACTATAGCTCATATAGCCCTGGCCTAGTCTAGGCTCGGTGTGCTGCGCACGGTGTTCGGCGCAATCCATGCATGGCTGCCTCACGCGGAAATGTCTCAAACACCTACAAGCGAGGGTTTCTTGAAATTAGAGGTAGCGTTTCGGGGGTCCCCATAGTACCGGGCACTACAGAATTTTTGGGGTCCATATGGGTCCATGTTGTCGTAGGCCGTTTGTTCTCATCCGGCGAGCCTCAAATGCTGTTCAGCTCGATGGCGTCCGGATACCTGGCCAGCTTGCTTTTCAGGGGGCTCAAAGGGTGGGATGAAGGTAGGTGGGTTAAAGGATCCTTTGTACATACAGCTATCACCGCTAGTCCACCAACACAGCACTAGCCTGGTCATTGCGAGGTTACTTAGAGCCACGCACCTTCCAAGGACCAAATACTTAGGTTTTAGGGTTAAGGCGTTTTACGCAACCCTATACTACTACCCCTCCCTTTCTGCACTCTCCCTGCCGCAAGAAAGGCCTATAAACCTTAGCGGTCCCTTTTCGGTGTCTTTCTGGAGGAGGATGAGGGGGTGTAGTTTAGCCTTCCAAAATGTTTGAGACGCCTGTCTTATCCCTCATCCATTGACCTAGGAATTTGTGGTGATTATGGTTTTCGGTTTGGGGTCTGGGGCTTTAAGGCTTAAGATCCCCACAAACCCACTTGAGAAGCCTGCGCACAATCAGCTCCTGCTGATTCTCTTCATACTAAATATCTAAACCAAAAAGCTGAGGGGAGGTCGTAGCATCCGCCTCATGAATCCCATGGGGCCCCAAACAATTCATAGCTTGAGATGCTTGACAATCCATGCAATGCCTTATAGTCCCTGGAGAGTGACTGCCGCTAAACTTGCCATAATAGATTGAAACCAACGCGCTGAAGCATAAAACCAGAACCCTGAAAGTCTGACCTTGCATGTTCAAACCTTCAAGGCACTGAAGCCCTGAACCCTAAACCCCTAAACCCCTCAGCCTCAAACTCCCAAAGCCCACCTCTGCAGCCAGGGCGTCCTGTAGTTCGGAACTGCGACCCTTGAGGCGCTGCACTTCGACCTCCTCCTTTAGGGTGCAGAGGGGGGAGCCATAGCCACAAAAAGCGGAGGCCTGTATGATTGGTAGTATTGAGCCCTCCTAACCCATATACAGTTTTGGGAGACTACAAGCCTAGCCCCGTGTCAAACTGTCTAGGCCCAGTCTAGGCAACTACATAACAACTCTACCGATGAATGCCGGGAAAATCCTTTCACTACATGACAAATGATAGCTTCAGCATGGGAGGTTGTAGACCTGGAACGTTATATAGGTATCCGGCATGCTAGAGGCCGTAGCACAACAAACGCCACTGCGTTGTTTCCTAACAAGGAATGGATGGGTCCCTACAGTCCCCTGGAATAGCCCTTTTTTGCAACAGGCCCCTGGAATAGCCCTGAACCCTAAACTCCAAGCCTTAAAAATTACAGTACGCACCGGTGATGTACAAGGGATCCTGGTGACCCAGACCCCCAAAACCAAACCACTAATAGGGTTCCTGATTAAGCTTCAAAAATCCCTCTGATATCCCCATGGAACCCTTACATCCGCACTCCTTATTCTGGTAGCCAAGGGAAAGGTCCTGCTCCAAGGCATAGTGCAACTTTCGACTGGTGGCCTGGCTCTCGGACAGCTGTTCATCTCGTAGGGTGACCAAGGTCTGCACCCGCTCCTTTTTCCGAGTTTTAGGGTTTAGGGTTTAGTTTTTAGGGTTTATATGGGGGGTTAGGGTTTAGGGTTTATTTTTTGGGGTGTATATGGGGGGGTGGGTTTACCAGGAAGATAAGGGACGTAAGGGGCAAAAGAGGTAATATAGGTGTAGGGAATAGTAGGGGCTGTAAAAGGAATATAGGGCGATGTAGGGATTACGCAAAGAATATGAAGGGAGAATCAGGATCATCGAAAATTACCTGGTGCTTAGTAGGGAATTAGGGAAGTTGGTCCCCACAGTAGTCCCTGTCTAAGCCGCTAAAGCAATCCTGACAACCCATGCCCCAATTTCCGTCATTCCGCACACTCAAGCCCTAAAATCTAAAACCTGTGCTTTTCTTTTCCATTCTCAAGCCCCCCTTCTCTGCGGTTCAAATGTACAAATCAACAAAGGAATAGAATCCCTACATAACCTCTACTCTATCCGTATCATACCCTTGCATAACCCTTTATAGTTCTTGTATCCCCATAAAACACTAACATACCCCCACAATATGTGCTCCCTATGCCATCCCCATAAATCCTGTATATTCCCTGTATTGAGATGTAAGGGTTTTGTTGGGTGCGAGTTACCAGCTATGCTGGAATAGCCTTGCTTTCCATAGCATTGCGCTATGCAGGTTTCGTCATAAAATGCCCCTGCCGTGTGCCAGGCTGCGTCTCTGCAGCTGGTCTGGTGAAGTCGTTTGACTGGACTTTCTGAACAATTAATGGAAGAGGACTGTACGGGGGCTTCCAAAACAATGGGCGTGCCTAAAGTGAGGATTACGAAGCCCCTGGCACCCTGGTGTATACATAAGCATTATTAGAGAATAGGTGCAATTAGCATGCTATGAGCGCACGTAGATTAAGTCCGTACTCTGTGAAACTACAAAGGATTTCTAGCCTGGGGAGGGCTCAAGGGAAATGTGTGCAGTCAGGAAATGGAAGTAATGCTACTATGACATTATCGATGTACCAGCCCCCACGATCAAACCCTATTACAAATGGGTACTGGGTGGGGGCAGTACCGAACTAGCCACTTGAAATAGCAATACGGAGATGATTATGGTCTCTACATACTCCTGAATCATATCACGAAGTTTTGGAGCAATTTCATATCCATTGCCATGCCGGGCTTCAAACAATGAGTCACGCATCCCTTATGGATTGACCAAGCGTCTGTGAGTCGCTGAGTCTCTGCCTCTTTGCGCTGCAGCTGTCGCTGAAGATCTTTGGCAATTTCTTTAAGCCTTAGTAGTCCGGTGGCCAGGAGAATGAAGCGCTTATGCATGAAAATGGCACCAAAAAATCACGAAGACGTCGAAAAGAAAACCTTATTTTGGTCCGCAAAGAGGCTGCTTATGGTCAGCCCACTCCACTACGCTGGTGCCAACAGGTTGTGGCCTTGGCGAATTCGACCGGGCAAGTGCATTTACAGCTGTTGCAGTCTTCACAGTGCGCTCCACGGCTTGACGGGCCGATGACCACCGAGACAGTGGTGAGACCGAGCGCTTGGATTCGGCACGTGGTGAGACAGAGCTACCTTTGCTCTCCCTCCGTGGGCCCCAAGGACCCCAGGACATGGCTTGCAAACTGACCCATATCACTTTGAGCCTGAAAGCAGCGGAAGAACATGTGCTGCTGCAGGAGTTCACGGAGCGCCTGCTGTGGACGTGAACTTCTAGATGGAAGCCTCCCACTACTACTGCCTCGAATGTGCACTGCAAGTAATTGTACACGTTTCTCGCGGGCTGCTGCCGCTGCACATCGAACGGTCACTCTCACAAGTTCATCTGCGCACGGTCGTGGCATCTGCATTCAATTCGGGTCCGCATCTGGCCGCCACCATCATGCGATTGCAAGGTGTAGCGCCGCGCTGAATCTCTGTCTCTGTGTGGGTGACATGCACACCACAAGTGTGGCCAGGACGTTGAGCGCTGCCGCAATGTTCCGAGCGTTGCCCTGAGTTCCTGCCAGGTCGTCATCGGCGTATGTGCACACATCACTTGATTGGAGGGCAGCAGCCGCACCAAGGTGCAGTAGGATAAGCATCAGCATGACCTGGGCAAGATGATTTCAGGCAAAAAGCACAGACTGTACAGGGACAAAGCCTGACGCCTTAGCCTTCACACTAAGCCACTGGCCTTCATGGCACGCATCTTTCTCGATATGAAGACGGGCTTCCACCAATGGTTTCCGCGGTGGAGGGCAACGGTTCCCCAGCCCGCTTGTCACAGCCCCATTTCTTGTACAAAGCTACAAGCTTGAACAGAGCTGCAGGTGAGGAGCACTTGGAGTTTCATGCGGGAGTATAAGTGGGATTGCGGAAGCGGAGCTACGATGAGCTACGACTAGGACAGCTGCAACGATTGCAGGATATAGTGGCCTTGTAATCTCACATAGAACTACTCAAGTACCCACGAGCTAGTCTTGTCTGGCACCCGCGCAGAAGTTAACGTCACGGCCTACAAGTGCCATTGCCACGACGATCTTGGTTTGGCAGGGCTTCAAGGAAGCCCAGCTGGGCAAACTCTAGATGAAAACTACTTGGAGGTCCCTATACGGCCCCACATGCTACCCCCTACAGTATAGAATCTACATCCAACAAGGCCCTACAACACATCGTAAAAAAGATGCCAGGTATCTGCCTTGGTGGTGTTTTGGAAGGGTCTGATCCGCTGTTCCTTAATTTAGGGGTTTTGGGCTTGGCTCGTGCCATTACTCTTTTTGCCACATTCCTCAATGCTTTGAGCTTCGAGCTCGCCATGCTCTTGGACCTCTTGGACCCAACATAGCCAAGCCTCAACAAGACGAGTTCAAAATTGAATCGAACTTTAGTCTTGGAGATTTTACCCTGGGGCATGGTAAGAAAATGTTTCTTCCTGGGCTGTGGTATGATGGCAACTAGACAGTGATAACCCAGCTCAGGTCCGGTGTAGGGACCTTCTTCAAGAAAGGGTACGCTTAGAAACCTTGCCTGCATGTAGTGACACAAGGGGATCAGAGCGGTGCTGGCTAATGCCAAGGATTCTCAGCAACAGCTTCCAAACCATTTATGTAACGTTTCAGCACTTACAACTTGGTTCGCCGCTCCGCAAAATCAAGTGAGGGATGACACAAACTTTCTACACACTACTTAGTTGCTGCTTTTGGGGTCTCTCGAAACCGGGTATGCCGAAGGACGCTTTCGGGATGTATGGGATTTCATGAAGATGATTGGGCCTTTTTAAAGGATTGTGAAGGGTAGCTCTGAGAACCTCCCATAAAAATCCCTGCGCCCAATGCAGACACTGCTCCACTGCAAATGGCAACTGTCGCTGCGGCTTTCCTTACGATTGTCATAGTATGACTGCTGCTTGCTGCTCCGTACCCTTTTTGCAACAATACTGTTTACGTAATAGCAGTAGCAGTAGCAGTAGTAGCAGCAGCAGTAATCATTAGTAGCAGCAGGAGTAGTAGTAGTGGTGGTAGTAGTAGTATTAGTAGTAGTAGTAGTAGTTGTTGTTGTTGTTGCAATGGTGGTGCTATAGCTCTTGCAATTAGTACTTGTTCAATCCGTAAGTCACCCCTGCTACAGCACCCGGGACAGGGCCCTGGCAGCTGGTCGAGCTGAGTTGACAGGCTCATTGTTGCTACTGAAGCTCTACCGTGTAGTATGGCCCCCAGACATGGAATATGCTTTTCGACGGCCTGTCATTTTGACACTCATCTGCAGTATGGGCCCTTGTGGGAACCAACGTTGCTGATGCTGGTATGTGTGTTGCAACTGGAGCTGGCTGAGGTAAACTGCACTTGGAGGATTATGAAGAAGCATATGTTTTTGTAGAAGCTGTCGAGCCGTCGAGACAGAAAACCGAAAGCTCAAGCTCACCTAACAGGTTGTGGCGTGGCATGCCAGCTGACCATAATAACACAGGGAACCGAAGAAACCAAAAGCACATCGAAGACAGCTGGGGCGGGGCGTACTTCATTTGGGATCGCTGGAAACCACCCTCACGAAGCCACAAGAACCCGATGTCTACAGTCCTTTGACGGTAGAAGCCTGTAATAACAAGCCGCTGTCAGCATCATGAATGCACTATGGCTCGTCGCAACACGGTCCTCTGCAAGAGGTTCGAAGAGGGGAGCCTCCAAGAAAACAGATGAAAGCATGTGGGTCCCAGCCCATTCAGGAATTTAACAAATTCACGGGCTTGTCACCATCCGGAGTTTAGCAAGTTTGGGGCACGAAGGGGGACCCTAACATATAGGTTGTTACAGGTCACTGATGACTAGGAACATCGCAAGTTGACCCGGCCCGGCAACTTTCCAGCGGCAATTTCTGTGGTTCGCACTTCTGGGTGATGCTTTAAATTTGCGCATCGAAGGTGATCGTTAACCATTCCGTCATGCTGGCAAGCTGAAGTTACCTTAAGTTTCTGCCATGATCTGGGACGCATTTGGAATCATCACAGAGGAAGGCGCTGTTGATGGTCCCTCTTTGTTTTTTCAGGCAGGGGATTCATAGGAGCAAGTTATTCATTCGCTACTTGAAGGTTTATGTTATTGACTGGGAAGTACTCACCCATGAGCAGCTGTAGATAAACACAGGTTACCCAGCCACTGGAGGATCCCAGAAATAGAAACTTCCCATAGTCCTCAAGCTTCTGGAATGTAACAATGTGGTCATTCTGATGGGCTCCATTTCTGGATCCTTCAAGAAGTCTGGGTATTGGGGCTGAGCTATCTGCCAAGAGATCCTCATCACCTATCTCGAAGACGTCCGCTGAAACAGGCCTGAGAGCATGCGAAGCTCAACTCCAGAACCCATGTCAGACTAAATGCAGATGGGTTTATTAACTGAAGTGTGGGCGAAGAGAAGCGGCGAAAACCTTGTGATACGGTTGATACGAGAAATCCTGCACGACCGTAGCATACTGTGATACCACAACCTGCGAGGGTCATACAGGATTTTTACCATCGACTGCATGCTGAGTGGGCTTACATGAAATAGCTCAGGAGTCCTTTAGAGGGGCCTTCGGGGGCCGAACTACTTCCAATATGATGCGATCGTGAACGCTTCCCCCTAAGAATCCGAGACGTCCCCCCATAATAAATCTACCCGGACAAGTTCGTATTGGTAGACGGTTCTATCTCCTGCGTGGCAGAGCCTCAGACACTACCAGGTATCACTACCACATCTCTAAAGACTGTTTTTCCTTGATCTCCACTCAGCCTTTAACGGTAGTCTTGTCCTTGTAAGAATGACCTTCCACCTTCGACAAGGTTATCAGTAGCGTCAGTAGCGTCAGCCTTTTCAAATCATTGCTCGTGATAGTTCAGGCTCTACATATAGAACAGCGGCCACTGACTCGAATCTAAAGAATGGATTGAAAAATGTCTACCTCGCGCACATGTACAGTACAACTGCGTCCAACCTGAAGGAGGGGGAGTTTTCAAGCCTCCTCTAGAAATCCCTAAATCCCTAAACCCGAATCCCGAAGCCCCAATTATAAGTATATTATAGGGGTACTAGTAGGGTTGTATTTGGCTTATATTTGGATAATGGAAAAGAAAATGGAAACTACTATATAACTTCAAACAAGGATTTCGGATAGACCCTGCAAAGCAAGGCAAGTTCACTCCCTAGCTGCTGAGCTTCCTGGCCCCCCCCCAAAGGTTAGCCTTTTCATTGTAATGCAGGCATGTATACAAAAGTATATAGATATATACATATATATATATACAGACATAAATGCAAATCTATCTATATATATATATACACAGATATTACAATGTATATATATATATGTATACATTTTTCCCTCACAAGAAGGTAAAGGTTATCCACCCAGCGACTAAGACTCTGACAATTTGACAGCTGAGTACCCAGCTCTTGCCTGCCAAGCTCAGCATTGAACACATCATCTGCCTGGCAACACATCCGCCTGCCTAGGGTGGGTTTGGCGGCGCTATACACAGTTGTTTTTTTTTTTTTGTTGCTTTCTAAGGTTTATACCGGGATTAAGGGCAATAAAGAATGCAAACTATGGTCAAATGATGTCAAATGCAAGCATGGTCGCCCCCGATATAACCGCAGGCATCCACACACAGACTCGCGCCCTCCTTGCCCGAGTCACTCGGGCCTAGTGCAGCAACTTTGACATACCGTCATCCGATGATGGACAGGCTGGACGATCATGCAAGGAGGCAGATAGCCCACGCACCCTTTTCATGGCCGCATGACAGGGTCGAAAGGTTGCAAACATTGGTCAATTACAACAGCGTCATGGCAACACTCTCCATCGTCTCCATACGAATTCGCGGATGCCATTAAAGCTTTACTGTAAACTTAGCTTTCCAGTAGGTGTGAAAGTGCCACCATGCACCAACATGCAAACATGGATCTGAGGCAGCCAGCATGTACGGACTAAACGCGATGCACCTCACTCTCACTCATCTTTTAACATCATCGCAAAGCCTCATGTGCACACGGGCTGCCTTTGCTGATGTCAGTCAGCTTCATAGAAATCACTCGGTAAATTAATGCAGGCCACTGCGCTTTACAGAGAACCGCTGCGTGCAGGTGAATTAAGCCGATTTTTCAGCCACTGCTCCAGCTTGACCTCGGAAGGCGGCTGCCAATCACTAACCTTAGCTGACTGTAGGATCCCACCCGACAAAAGGAGCAAAAAGTCCACCTGAAAGTTGAACTGTTATCATCCTTTAAATTGATAGTAGAAAACGCCAAAATTTAGAAAGCCAGGCTAAGTAACATTTAGATTCTCGAGGGCCGCCTTAACTGCTGCCTCGCACTCGGTCGGGATGTGCTGGCGCAAGACCTGAACACCAGAAAAGCTCCTCAAAGAATGGCAATCAACCCATGGTGCACACTTTTTAAGAATCATGATACCAGACTTCAGCCCAAGCCACCGTATTGCAGGAAGCAAGCCACTTCATCTCCTGCTCAAAGCAAGTCACGTCGTGCATCAGCTCGGCGTTTCGCTTGCCCAGCTCCGAGTCCATCGCCATGGCCCTTCGCTTCAGCTCGCCAGGTGTCACCACCTCGCGTTCCGAGTCCACCTGCGCAATCATGGCCGCAGCATCACCACCATCATCATCGCCAGTATCTTCTTTTGCTCCAATCAGCCAATCATCATCATCTTCTTCTTCATCATCATCAGGAGGAGCAGCAGCAGCGCCAGCAGCATCATCGTTCATTCATCCACCCCCACCGCCATCATCATCATCATCATCATCATCATCAGCATCATCATCAGCAGCAGCTGCGTCTCAGGCATCCGGCCGCAATCATCGCAGAACACGATTATTACAGCAGCGCTAAGTGTGACTGTATGCCAAACCGGGCGCACTAGCAGCATAAAAGTGATGAAACACTCTTGCAGCTTGACCTGCTGCCGGAGGTTGCTGATCTCGAGCTTCTGCTGCTCAATCTGATCTTGCAACTTGGCCTTCTCCTCCACTTTCGGGGGGTTGCATATCTGGGTTAGCTGCTGCTACTTTTCTCGCGACAAGTGCCAGTTGTACCTACTAGCCTACTACTAGTCCTGCTTCTTTGGGTTCCGGGTGCTCCTCCTACCACACTCCGACCCGCCTCCTCCCTCTACGTCATACTGCTACGTGTACCACCAACAGAACTTCAGAAACACCCTTTTGGGTATTAGGCTGGGCGGGAACATGACTCAACTTTCTTACCCAGACCCTCATCCTTACCTAACCATCAATCCCTTTCAAGCTTCTAAAAATCCCAAACCGTGAGTCTCCTCATGCAGCTTGGCCTGCTGCTCGTTGAGCCTTGCTTTCTCTTCGTTCAGCTTGGCCTTGTCCTCGTTGACCCGGGCCTTCTCTTCGTTCATCTGCCGGAGATCCTTCTCCAAGACTGCCCGTTTCCGGACCTCCTCCATGACCTTTTCCTGGCTCTGCTGGACCATAGAGTTGAGCTCTTTGGCCGTGCGCTCATTCTGTTGCTCCACTTCCTGCAGGCGGTCAAAAGCCTTTAAGGAATTTTCGGCTTTCAGCACAGTAAGGTCACAGAACCAATGGCAGCATGGAATTCCTAACTCAGCCCGTGACACTGGGCCGCATCCTCAGCTAGAGCTAGAAGGATGTAGGTACCATCCCATCTGGAGCATCACCAACACCAGATCAACACAGCAAATCCAGCTTCAAACTGGTTCAGTACGAAAGTGTTGCTACAAGAATATCTTCCTCCTAATGGGTCGAAACATGAAACATCAGTTCCAGCAATGACCCAGTAAAACCCTGAACCCTACGTGGAGACGCAGGATGCCAATGCCTTTATACCCCCTCTACTTGGCCCTGAACCTCCAAGTAAACCCCGTGCTTTTGAACTGGGCAGTTCCTGGCGCTGGCTCTCCCAATTTCGGTACTTCTGCTCCCGTTCCTGCCAGGGCGCTTTCTTGCATGGTGAACATGTGTCTCTCTTTGAACAAATGGGTCCCCTTTTGGGGGGGTGCCGTGTACAAGGAGCCATCCTGGGCAAGTCTGGGGCTTATGAGCTTAACCTTTTAAGGCATGGTCTACAGGACACTGGCGGCCCTGGCTCCTGCACACGCAGCTTCCATTCATTCTTCTGGTGGGCTAGGTCAGCCTCCTTTTCATCCTGGCTCATTTGGTCAAGGGTTGGAGGGTTCAGGATTTAGGGATTGGTTTGCAAGCATCCCCCCTCAAACTAGTAGGCAAACTCCCAACAGGTGCTGGAAAAAGCTCCGTCTGTTTAACAGGCTTTATGGATTTCTATGTTTGCTTTATTATAGCTTGGGCTCCTCATGTATGCAAAAGACCCGCAAAAGTGCAAAGGAATGCTAAGTGAACAGGGACCTTCTCAAGAAGTGAGCATGGAAGCTTGCTTCAGATTAGGGATTAGGCTTAGAATCCCTCAGGAAATCTGCTCGGGCTTCAAAAACATGACTTGAAACCTGATCGACTAGAGGTGGCTAGATGTTTTAGAGCCGTCTGTAGAGGATCTCGAAGCAATAGAAGACCCATACGCCGGAATGTAGACGTTGAACCTTCTGCCTTTCCTATCTCCATGCCCTCCCAAACTAACATGAATCTCATACAGCGCCTGTGAAAGCTATACGACTCACAAGAGCCTCAACGGGTTTCGAAATCTTGGAATGTTGGTTGCGGGTAGCCTCTGCATTCCTAAGCCACCATCCCCTCCCCCACAGCAATCGGCTAGCGTCCAGCTGCTGCTTGTTGACCTGAAGCTCCAGACGCAGGCGTTGCAACTCCTTCGCAGGGAGGTCAGCAGCAAGAGGAGATTCTCAGGGAGACCTTGTAAGTTGGGGGCAACCCCCCAAATCCTAAAACGCATTCAATGTAGACACGCCATGCCTACATACCCCAACTACTCGGACACTCTGCCGCGTCCTCTCGCAGCCGCTCCTGACCCTTCCGTCTGAAGAGACACCCCGCCTCAACCTGGGTATAACACAATTCCCCAAATAGCATAGCAGAGGCATTGAGGCTCTAGTGTATACTGTACGTACGGGGGGGAGGGTCGGCATGCAGTTTCCTGCTCAGGGTGCTGTCCAGGGTTGACTATCTGGGATCCTTGCTGGTATAGTGATACGGTAAAGTACTGATGGAAAGGAAATCCCAACAAGGACCCCCGAAAAGTTGGAACTCTCAACTCTGAACTCTGAGCCATATCCTTACACGTCCGTCTACATATACGTACGCATGACGCATGCACACATATGCTCGCCCCTCCCCCTCCCGAAGATCTAAATTTGAATTTCGTTGTATGTGGAGCAGGGTCAGGGTGAGGATCCCATAGATAGTTGACATTATGTTCCATATAGATTAATTTCTACATGTGTTTTGAATCAGTCCAGGAATTCTCGGATCTTGGGCATTGATTTCCTGTGTGTAAACCCCTTAATAAAGATGCTCCAAATTGAAAGGGCAATTCTCAGATCCTGGGTTAGTGCTCTATCTCTGTGATTAAGTGGGTCGAAACATGACTGACTGTAATTTCCAGAGCCTTGCCTGTGGCGTGCCCGTGAGCCCCCGTGGCGGGGGGGGGGGGAGGGTGACCATACAAATCTACATATATATATATATAAATATGTATGCATGTATACGTACATAAATGTATGCATATCTATATACATATGTGCATATAGCCAACATGGCCCCCAAGGCCCTTATGAACGTAACCGCCTGTGAGTGCAAAGGTTCTCTGGCTGCTGAAAACACATGCCCTCTCTCCTCCGTGTTGCGCTCAGCCTCGAGTAGCCGAGCCTGCAACTCCTCATCATGTTTTGTTCCGGTTCCGGAGGGTTGTGTTTGTTTGGTGCGGAGAATCGAATTGTCGAAATGAAAGCTAGATTAGGGTCCGGGGGGTCAGGGTCTAACGCCTTTTTTTTGAGCGGTTGAACCGAGTACGAATACATTCTTCTGTTGAAAATCTGCAAGAATTCAAAAGGAAGATATAGTCTTGCTCCTCCTTGGGGACTACTCAGCAGAACTTTGGAACTAGAGGTGCAGGCGGTGCCCTTAGGGCCTCCCAGGGATATAGGGGACTGTACAAAGGGTCTGGGGATTACTTGAGAAACTTGCCCCTCCACTTCATGGAGAACATACATCAGGACAAGAGCTCTAACACCAGCTACAGTCAAACTTTCTTGAATCAGCCCCGAAAGAGCAATCCTGGTTCGTTCTAGAAGCAACTCTAGCTGACAAATTAGTTTGAAAATCGCTGGATATACCAGCAGCTGAATCTATGCTAGTACTTGGCCTGTCCTTGAATTTCCTTCACTGAGTCGGACAAGTAATGGGACCCCATTTTCTCCAAGCCAAGTCCAGGTCCAAGTGAGCCCAATCAGACCCTCTGGGTTTGTCAGCACCGTTTCCTAGCGCGGACGGACAAAATCCAGCATGACCTTAATGGGTTTACTGTACTACTATCTATGGTTTAGGAACGCATGCATGATTTTATGAATGAACCCTGTGCGTCCACCTCGGCCCCTCCCCCCATATACCATGTAGTAGTCTCCATTTTCTTTTCCATTACCCCTATATGACCCCGATATACTGCCTGGTTCCGGCTGTTGAGGAGGCTCTCCCGCTGCTCCAAGTCCTGCTTTGAAGGGGGTGAGGGATGCGTTCATTGCAAAGATCCGTCAATCACAACCTAAGCAATCACCACCCAGTAATTGGTGATCTGCCTCCGTGGGAAGTGGTTGCTCACATGACAGGCACCCGACTGGGTTGTCACTGCAGTTTCATAGCTGTACTATACTACATATGAAAATAAGCAAACAAGCGCGTAATGCCTGACGCTCGCTGTCCTGTCTGCATGCACGAAAACATTTTTTGCAGATGATTGAAGAGATCAGGGATTGGCTGGCTAAGCTCTCAATTCATGACAGAGCCTTCTGGGCGTGGATGAGCTGCTCGTTACACCGTTCTTGCTTGAGAGTCTCCTGGCAGGCATGACTTGGGAATGCAGAAGCTGGATATGAGCCATAGTCTAAACTCCTGACAGGGGGTAAGAAAGGGGGTTATATAGGGAACTACCATAGGGGATACTAAGGGAATACTAGGAGTTTAGACCGCAACGCAATTAGTACTATGCCCTTGCCTTTACTAATTATTGTAACATTACCTGGACCTGCCCAGAACTGATCGGCCGTCCCACTCGGAGTTTAGACCATGGCTCATACGAACATTTCTCAAACTTGGGGCCTCCAGGAGACCTCAGGATGACACAGGATCCCAAATCACAAACTCATAAGGGTGGTTGTCAAAATGATGGTCCCTTTTTGGATCCCTATTATAATACGGCCCCTAATATTTAGGGCACCCAAAAGGGGACCATAATTTTGACAACCACCCATAACTCTTCCACCCCTAGCACGTAGTCTTCTGAGCTCAAGCTCCGCGTCCTTCCTTCGTACCTCGCCCGGACTCGGCTCCCACAGCTTCAGCTGCAGGCCCTCGACCCTAAAGCCTAACTTACTTGGGGGCTAGTAGGGAATAAGGGAAGATTCTATAATTGTAGGGATTCTCTTCCCTTCTTCCCTACTATCCACCAGAAAGCTAAATCCAACCTAATGTTTACTTCGCATTAATAAATCCCCCCCCCCCTCCCCCCCCCCTTGAATGATCTATCTCCGTCCCGGGAGACC